AATGTGGAGTTTAGGAATGGGATCAGCCATGATCTCATTGACTTGTGGGGCAATCAGGCTGAATGACCTACTTTTGCTCCCTACATCTTATGGTGAGAAACAAATGAATTTTTTTTTTCTGAGGATTGTAAGCCAGTAGAATGTTCTTCCCCAGAGAATAATGGAGGTACAGCCTTTTAAGGCTGAGTTTGACTCATAGAGTTCCTACAGTGGAGGAAGAGGCCATTTGGCCCATTGAGTCTGGGCCAACCCTCCAAACAGAATCCCACCCAGACCTAGCCACCACCCTTTACCCTATCCCCATGGCTAATCCACCTATCCCTGGATATTATGGACAATTTACCATGGCCAATCCACCTAACCTGCACATCTTTGGACTGTGGGAGGAAACCAGAGCTTCTGGTGGAAACCCATGCAGGCACAGAGAGAACATGCAAATTCCACACTGGCAGTCACCCAAGGCTGGGATTGACCGTGGGTCCCTGGCACTGTGAGGCACAGTAGTAACCACCAAGCCACTTTGCTGCTCAAACTTTTGTTAGCCAAGAATCTATATTTGGAAGCAGGTGGGAAAATTGAGGACATAATCAGATCAACTGTGATCCAATCAAATGGCAGAGCAGGATTGAAGGGCTGATTGGCCTATTGCTGCTAATTCATAAGATTGCATGTTCCATGTTTCACAGATACAAATAATCAACTTCACTGCGGAAACTAATAAAACTTTAGTTGCTAATACTTACTAAGATATTTAACGGTTTGTGAATTCAGCTTGTGCCTTACAAACAGGGTGTCAACATTAACCTATTACCTGACTTAATTTTCCTGATGACTTAAAGGTTGTAATCACCATCTCTGCAACTGCTAAACTCCATCCCTAAAATTGCAAGACCCTCAAGGCATGAACTTGGAGGTCTGGAAACTTTTAATTCCCTCCTCTGGAATTATGCAAAGCTCAAACTCCCAAAAGGTCCTGGGGTGATTACCACCAATGTTGTGTATTCAGGCTTCTCGGTCAAATACCAACATTCTCCAGATCGGGTTTGCTCCCCAACTCGAGCTTGAATCTTGGCTACCCAATTCCTTCTGCAACTGTTGGCTTCTCCCAGTTCATTGCCCACAGTAATTGCAAGAACCAACCCCAAATAACTGGTCCCCTCTCATCTGCCACGAACTCTTGCACCACCTATGAGATCATGGTACTTATCTGGGGTGGCACAGTGGTTAGCAGTGCTGCCTTACTCGCCAGGGACCTGGGTTCCATTCCACGCCCGGGCAACTGTCTGTGTGGAGTTTGTACATTCTCCCCATGTCTGTGTGGGTTTCCTCCGGGTGCTCGGGTTTCCTCCCACGGTCCAAAGATGTGCAGGCTAGGTGGTTTGGCCATGCTAAATTGCCCTATAGCGTTCAGGGATGTGTAGATTGGGTGGGTCTAGCTGGGTTGCTCTGAGGGTCAGTGTGGACTTGTTGGGCCAAAGGCCCTGTCTCTACACCATAGGGATTCTATGATGATCTCCCCCCTGTTCAATCTGGCAGATTTTTAATGTATGACAGTGGTATATTTGTTGGTAAAGGGATATGTATGAGAATTATATAATGACTGGTAAACATTCAGCAGTCAGAAAAAGTTGCAGCTTGCTCATCATCTAAATTTTGATTGTTGTCTAATTTTGGTTTGTTTCTCGATCTGACTGTCAGTGATGATCTTGCAAATGGTGACCAGCATTTAATTCAATTTGTAATTAGGAAGAAACAAAAATCAAGAAGCTATGTTTTGGATAAGGCAGAGGGTTGTGAAGTAAACTGGCTGAGCTATTCTCGAATAAATGAAAGACATGGATAGGGTGAATGCACTCATTCTTTTTCCCTGGGTTGGCGAATTGCGGACTAGAGGGTATCAGTTTAGGGTAAGAGGGGAAAGAATACATTGTAACCTGAGGGGCAACTTTTTTACACAGAGGGTACGCATATGGAATGAGCTGCCAGTGGAGTGGTTGAGGCGGGCACATTAATAAAATTTAAAAGGCATTTGGATGAATATGTGGATAGGAAAGGTTTAGAAGGATATGGGCCAAATGTTGGGAAATGGGGTTGGCGTGGATGGACATTTTGGTCGGCATGGACAAGTTTGGGCTGAAGGGGCTGTCTCCGTGCTGTAGGACTCGATACGACTCAATAAATCCTCTGACATAATAGAAAGACTTGCAAAAATGCAATGAGCTATTAAAACAATAAGGGGGGGGTAACAAAAAATTCTTGAGTTACAAAAAAAAAACAAGGACATAAAAATTTAGTAGGGTAGAATCGAGCATTGACCAAGACAATTTGTAAGAATGACAGTTCAAAGGGAAAAGCAACATTTTATACTGCATGAGGGGAGAATTTAGATTGCTTGTCAAGTGGGTTCTGGTAAAGGTTTTGCCAGAGAGCATGCACCCATTAATTTACATTGATAGTAAACTGCCAAACTTTGTTAAAATTTTCTACTGGGCAGATTGACTTTGGTTATGGCGTTACCCTAAGAAATTCACCAGTGAATGGTTGTCACCTAACACTTGCACATACTCTTTTGCACTTGCACCATAGTTACTCAAGGGGAAGTAGTTCGGCAACACAATTAATAATGCCATTAAATGTGGTAAATCTCTTTGACCGTATGTTTTCTACAAGAGAGGAGTTTGACCTTGTGCGTAGCTTTATTTTTGGTGTGCCTTTTTCCTACAACAAACAGGAAGAGATGTTGCTCCATTTGGATTCCTTTACTCTTAACTCCCCTGCCTCAAACCAGGGTCCACTGAAGATGGCATGAAGGCATCACTCCTATCTGATCTGGCACACGCATATATTCATACAGTGTGCAAATCTGGCAGAGTTGCGAGGCTTTAAGCCGAACCTAGACATAAATATTAGTAAACCTGACAAAGGGGCTGGAATAGTCAGCTTTAACAAGTGTGACTTATTAACTGGACCGGTCAGTTAGTATTACTTGAAAGTAATCTAAAAGATAAAGCATTAGTAGGACTTGTGTGAGAGCAACGAACTGCCTGGTGATAAATACAATAGGGTTCAGCCTCACTGTTCATGGTGTCTGTGTATGTACAGGCTGCCCAAGACACACAATATGTGATGTCTGTTCTGTTCAACTTGAATTGGCCAAATGGCTGGGTGAATTACTACAACCAGTCTTGCTCAAGTTTCTACTTAAATAGTGAAGGGTTCTTTCACAGCTGCGAAAACAGTACAGGACTTCCAGTGCCTACATGCTTATTTGACAATATTAGCCTAGTTGTCAATGTATCCCTGAAGGAAGCCATAGATATCTGCAGTGCAGCGCCATGTGGTGATCTAGATTCACCACCATCGTGTGAATCAGTACTCAGTGAACTTAAGAACTCAGCAAACTTCACAGTTGTGATCAGTTTCAACAAAACAATGCATGTTCAAGTAGATGGTGTTACCATGGGACCCCTGCCAGGCCCAGTTCTCTCAAATATCTTTGTAGGATTCACTGAGAAACATATCTTTAATGGAATGACACGCAACCTTCTATGCTTTATTTCTGATAGGTAGAGGATGTTTGTTATAATTTTCCTTGCACGAGCAAATAGGCTACATCCTGTGCTCAAATTCAGGTTTGAAATGGAAAAGTGAAATGAGCTCCATTTCTTCAATGTCCTTGTTGATAAATCAGCGAGGGTGTTCTCTGCTACTGTCTGTCACAAACTCACTTTACTGACCAATATATACATTGGGATTCCTACAGTTCCATGCACCTTAAGATTGGCCTTTTAGGTAGCTTCATGTATAGGACCTGAGCCATTTCTTCATCATGCCAACCCAATGCTGAAATGCATCATTGTCATCCTCCAGGGTAGTGGCTATCCTGATCAAATCATTCCTTACTGTATGTTACGAAAACTCCTGAAAGGCCCTAAGGCAGTCACTTTTGGTTCTGAAAAGTGCTCAGTTTACTTCAGATTACCCAAGAGAGATATGGTTTTTCAAAAGTTTAAACAACAGTGAAGATAGCTGTTTGGTGCTGCTACTAATGCAGCAGAAACACAAATGGTATAGGGATTCCATGATTGCAAGGTGAAAAGCTTTGATAAAGTGTCTTTTTGTTTTGCAGTACTAAAGTCTTAAACATCAAAGTTAACAGTAAAAGTGTTTATATGTAAAGTAAAAGAGCATGCCAAAAGGAATATTGGCCCCATTAAAGTCAGATACTGCTAATAAATACTAAAATGACTAACAGGAAAATAGAAAAAAAATGCTACAACTAGAAAATAGCAGAATTATTACATTCTCTTTTCAGAGTAAGTAAAGAGGACTATAAATCTGTGACACAAAAAAGCCTAAAAGTAACTCAACAGTAAGAAGTTAATATATTTTACTATAAATTTTAGACAGTAGAAATTGAGAAAATAAATGGAGAGAATGAAGAATAATGAGACTTAAGATTGACCAACCTCCACTTTGTCGTATTTAAAGGAACTGGTATGTAAATTACACAACCCAATTCTGAATTTTCAAAATTTAAAATGTAAGTTTTCACAAACTAAGCCATTTTTGCCCTTAAGGGTCAGTACAGGAGACTTAAATCTGAAACAACAAAAAAAAAACTGGTCTTAAATGGGCAAAAGTACCTAACCCTTTGCATCTTAAATGGTTTATTGAAATAAATCCTCAAATAAAATTAGGGCAATTTAAACACACTGCTTCATGCTTGTACTTCCTCCCCTTGACTCCAGAATTATTTTTCTAAATAGGAGTCTTCAAAAGAAGAATTCCTCTTTTCACCCCCATTTAAACGTATTATTTCGTGTCCTCTGCAAGAATGAGCATGTTTTGAGAAAGACCCATGAAGTGTGCAAGGAATCTGCATCTTCCTGGAAAATCGGCAACACTGGAGAGCAGACCTGAGGATTAGCTGTGAGCTGAAGCATAGTGTGACAAAAAATACAAAATGCCTTAGAGAATAGGCTTTTCATACACAGTGATCCAAATAATCAATAGAAGTTTTATTTTGTCTTCACCTGAATCGTAATGAGCAGTACTATAATATGGATATGATCCATTTCACCAATTTATTATCTCGGCAGTGAGGATGAAAATCTACAACACTATTACACTGAAATTCACACGAATTGAGTGCAAGCAAATATTTCAGTTCTGAAAACATGATAAAAGTTGCCAATAAAATAAAGTCCCCATAATAAATCTTCCAGTAACTGGCAGGTTGGTAGAACAGCGAAGAATTTGATCCTGCATTTATGGATAATCATTTTGACATTTCGGGACTCAAATTGTTTGGTGATTGGGTACAATGGCCATAATGTTTTACCTTCCACATCTTAATATTAATCAGTACAAAAGTGATTTCCAAAGTTTTCTATTTAGTATCTGCAGCTTACTGTGAAGTAATAACATCGTGTTCCTATGCCCTTTAATCAGTTTCAATAAAATTCCATGTGTGTTGCAGTTGTCATTTTGGCCATTTGTAATTACAATAATAGATTGGTTAGCTAAGGGCAGCTGACCACTAGGTTATTCTTCTGAACTCACAGGTGCACACAGACTGTTCCGAAAATAAAGCACAGTTAGAACTCTCCATCTTGATCTTCGTCATCCCAGCCACATGACTCAATCTGCTCATCCTCAGGGAAATCAACTTCCAGATCATAAACAAACTTTGGGTCACTAGGTTTTCTCCGGTTCTTTTCGAACAGTTCATCCATGATTTTTTTCTTTTTTGCCAACTCATTGTCATCAAGTTTGTTGAGGTCCTCCTCTGGGTTGATGGAGTTTTCCCTCAGGAAGGTCTCCAGGCTTTGGTCAAGACTCAGGCCATTCAGGCTATCCCTCAGGAGCTGATACAATTTCTGTAGCTGCTGCTGTGACACTCTATCCAAATACACTTGGTGCCGAGGGTTATTCTTCATCTGTTCTGCAGCTTGGCCACAATCTATAGTCAATTTTCAAAATGGGAAAAAAGAAATGCTGTCACACCTTTCAGTGCTTCATCCATATCTTTAACTTTCTAACAATGTTGACCAACTGAAGTATACTTTAATATAACCTAAACAAGAGAGAAAATAACTTTGAAGTTATTTAAAGCTTAGATTAAAGGTGTAATATAATCCCAGTAAAAATCAGGGAAAACGAATTGAGTGAAGAAGTCTCATTTTTGTCCAATTTACATTGGATACGTGGCACAGAAATGGGCTATTCAAGACCATCTAGTCCATGTTGGTATAATGGTAAACTCAGGCCTCCTCCAATCTTTCTTTATTTATCATCATAACCCTCTGTTCCCTTCTCCCTCAAATGTTTGTCCATTCTCTCCTTAAATACATCTATATTATTTCACTTCAATCAATACCTGCGGTAGCAGATTCCACATTCTTATCACCCTTTGGGTAAAGAGGTTTCATCTGAATTTCTGATTGGATTTCTTAGTGATTATTTTACACTGATGGCCACTGCTGTTGCTTCTAAGAGGAAACATTTGTTCTGTATCTACTCTACCAAACTCTTTCACCATTTTAAAGACCTTTTTTCGTCACCTCTAAACCTCTTCTGAAGAGAAAAGACAGCCAGCAGGCTATCACTTCCTGATAAGGATGACATCCAAAAACTGTAGACAGCTGCATGCATGGCTGATACAGTGTTTATTCCTACCACTAGTCTCTAGTCAACTGTTTGAATATCTCTGATTTTCTTACATATCCACTTTTCCTGATTTGCTATCTAAAAGCACTCACATTAAAATTTCCCAGCCCAATTTAGAGGCCACACTTAAGAGAATTGGATGTGTGTGTCTGGAAAGGGAGAAAAGTGAGAGTAACAATAAAGCACACTGTTCTGCTCAGAGATGACATACCAGCTACGCGGGCAAATGCACACTTTGGTTGTGGATTTTCCTGTGAGGAGTGAGACAAGCTATTAATTTGTGTCTTTGCAGTGGTTTTCAATGGTGACACATTGGTTAGGAGATTGAAGGAACCCACTGTTCTTTGAAGAAATTGTTCATCAAACTGTTCTGTTTGTGGACAGACTTCTGACAGTAAATCTTGAATGGGTTTAGCACTTTAAAAAACAAATTGCTTTCATATGGTGTCCTTTATCTTCAAGGATGCCTAAAACACTTCACGATGTGGAAATGCCGGTGTTGGACGAGGGTAGACAAAGTCAGAAATCACACAACAACAGGTTATAGTCTAACAGGTTTATTTGACATCACAAGCTTTCGGAGTGCTGACGAAGAGGCAGTGGTCTGAAAGTTTGTCATTTCAAATAAATGTGTAGGACTTATAACACTTCACAATCAATAGACAATGCCCAAAATGCAATATATGGTCAATGTAGATTGTCACCACATTGTGTTATGGAAATATGTTAATGACATCTTTCATGTTATGTGACAGCATGATTTGTATGGTTTAAATACATTATCTTGAATTGTTCCCACACTACCTACACCTGTGGAAAAATGTATAACTCATGACTTAACCTAGTGTACTTTAGTTATATCACATAAAATATTGTATGTTTTATTAATGTTTTATTAGTGTAGTTATTTTAATTATCCAAGTGGATGTAATAGGAAAATATCAAAATTTCAGTCAATCATGGTGAATAAGTATCAGCAACAGTGCACTTCTACTCCATGTTAAGGTGATCATTACAATGTTTCCCTGTTTGCTATGATTAGCATCCATATTGTTGATACAATATTAGATGGGCCATTTGAGAATAAACATCAAACTAGGTCCTTACCTGAAAATTTGGAGAAGTTTCGAACCGGTATTAGCCTCTGTCGAGTTTTTTTAGTATTTTCATCTTCATAGATTAAAACAATAGCAGGTGGTTTGAATTTAACTCCACACTTCCTTGGAATGTAAGCCATCTCGTTTCAGCTGAAGATCCTTTCAGGTTGCAGGCAATTCATAACAAGGTCAGAGAGTCGGTGATCAGTCAATAACCTTTGTGTCTGGCTCCAGGTATTTTAATAACTTTTCTCTATATTTTAAAATATTAATAAAGAAAAAAAATCACATGAAAACCCTGTATAGGGAAAAATAAGTCAATTTAAATTTAAGTGTCTGAGTCAGTCATGAAATTTTTAAGAACTGGTATATAGAACACCTGGCAGTTAGGAGCAACAGTATTGAACACAGGTGTACTATAATTCTTGAGAGTAAACTGGAACAGGTCATCTATACATCTGAAAAAATAAGGTGCTGAAGAAACTCAGCAAGTCTGTCAGCAACTGTGGAGAGAAAGTAGAATTAACTTTTTGAGTCCAGTGCTCTGAAGAAGGGACACTGAATCCAAAATATTAACTCTGTTTTGTTTCCACAGATGCTGCCCTACCTGCTGAGTTTCTCCAGCAATTTTTAAAAGTATTAGGACCCCTCCCCTCCCCACCACTCCAGTATAGAAAATGAAAGGAATATCTAACTGTGGTGTTTAAAGTCATAAAAGAATTTCTTCATACAGGATAGTCAAAATCTGGAACTCACACCCCTAATACAGCAGCTGAGACTAAGGGACAATTGAAAATTTCAAAACTGAGATTGGTAGAATTTTGTCAGTCAAGAATGCCAAGAAAACCAGGGAAGTCGGATAGAGTCAAGATGTAGATCAACAACTGAAGGGCAGAACAAGCATCTAGGGCTGAAAGACCTACTCTTGTTACTAATTATAGCCTTGAGGTAATTCTCACAGCCAGAATAATCACTTTGAACCTAAACAAAAAATCCTTCTTACCATTGCAACTTGAGAGAAATGCTAGTTCTGTGAAATACTCACATCAAACCAAAGTGGAAAAAAATCCTGTCAATAAATAACTGAGAAATATACATAACTGGAGGCAAAATGACCTAAAAACTGAACAAATCCATATCTTCAAATACAATTATCCTCGAACCCAGGGCAACTTTGCCTAAACAATCAGAAGTCACGTATATACAATGTCTCGGGTCAATCCCTAATAATCCTGGATACAAGACACAGAGGAGAGGTGCTCTTTTGTCTGAAACTAGCTGTATAGTCATTTCCAAGGTTACAGTTCGAAAACTGGAATGGAGCAAGTGCAGGCTTTCATAGCTAGTAGAAGTTTTGTCACTTTGATTTAAGATATATGTTCATCAGTCTTGAGGAGATATTCTTCCATTTGACAATCTGATCCCGTAACTGGGCAACATTTGCTAACCAGTACTGAGTGTTCTAAGAATTAACTGACAATCAACAATATAAGGTCGTGAGTTGGTCTCGCAGAGTGGAGCACTTTCATGCACTAGAAATGTTAAACACAGGTACCCGTTATTTGCAGACAAAACGTACAGATATTGCACATACTTCAATTTAACAAAATAGAGGACAGATATTTTCTAGCTCTTCCTCGGATAATGTCTTGAATAATCAGTGTCAACCTGATTGGTTTAAATTTATACAAAGCTTGGCAAATTAACTGTTAGTCATCATTTAACTAGTACATTATCTATGGCAACATCATATCAAGCATTCAACACTCTACTCATACAGTTTAAAATACTATTCCCTTCTAAATTCTTGTGAATTGAGTGAAAGGTGAAAATCTTCAAAAGAATGTGTCTTTTTCATCAAAAGACAAGTTAATAATACTTAATAATCACTATTATAACTCCAATATTATCTTAATTGTAATGATAGTGTTAATTATCATAATTCTTAATATTAATGTTGGATAGACAATGCCAAGAGTGATTCATCACTGAAAGGAGTACATATGATGGAAGCAGCCAGACTAGCTCAGAACAGATGGTGATGGAGTAAATTAATTCAACCTCACTGTCACTGCTAAGCTGAATTTAAAGGCTGCAGTTATTGGGCAGACTGAAGTCATTACCTTTGGTCCCCATGACATACTGTCCTGTATTGCCCTTCCCATTCCTAATCACAGTCTCAGCTTCAGCTAGACTGTTTGCACCTTCTGTATTTTATACAATGTGAACTGATTCTCCTTCCCTAACCTTTCCAACACAATAACATCATCTGCCTCTGCAGTGTTTGCATTTGCTGTTGAAAGCATGTCACCTCCAAACCTGACTACTTCAAATATTTTCTTGGCCACCCTCCTCTTCATCATCACCAGATGTCAACTCATTCAAAATCTGGCTATCCTAATCTGCATCGGGTCCCATTCAGTCATCAACTCTTGCTCCTCTGATGTGTATTTGCTCCCATCCCACAACAATTCAGAATTACACAGATAGAAAGAGAAGCACAGGAACAGGCCTTTCAGTTCTTTGGTCAATGTTTATGCTCATTACTAGCTTCCTCCTACCTATCTCCACCTAACCCCATCATTCTTCAGTTTCTTTCTCTCAGATGTATCTTTCCATATTTCCCATAAATATTTCTAAACTATTCAACTAATCTACTCCATATTGTAATTGGGTACACGGTCTAATCACAGATTATTGTTGTTGTGTCGCCATTGTTTTACCAGACAATAGGGCTGCTCTCATTAGAGAGAGGCAACTGGTAGTTATTTAACCTGAGGGCCACTGTGCATCAGGCAAGGGGAAGAGGTTGAGAAGGACAGTCCTTTATGGTAACCTATTGAACCCATGCTGTTGGCATCACACTGCTTCGCAAACCAACTGGCCAGCTGACTTGCTAAACTGACCCCCAATTACAGATATTAATGTTACCTAGTTCTGAATCCTACCACAGGTGAAAACTTTATTTTCTATGTTATCATGATTTTAAAATTGCCATCCTCACGTTTAAATCACATCACACCTCCGCACTTCCTCACCTCTAACCTCCTTTAGATCTACAACCCTCTCCAAACACCCTGTTCACCCAGGCCCCAGGTTCTGGAATTTCCTGCTAAACCACAGCTTCATCATCTCTACTAATATTTCCTTCTCTAGCGAAACAGCACTAAGCGGTACCTTTATTATAGAATACAAGTTAATAGAAGTACGTAAATAAGGTAATTTAAAGCACCATTCGGAAGTGATCTAAGATCAAGGAGATAGTTCTTGAGGCAGAGTCTTGACTTGTATACAGTCTTTACTTTGTTTAAACAAAAATCTCACGTTTGACCACTGACTAAAAGACTCTTGCAAAATTAAATAATTTCTGTCCGAGACTAAATCACAATATACTTATTAATTTTAAAATATTGATGTTTATACAGCATTTAGTACGAAAAGAAAGTTCGGACAGAACTTTACAATGGTGGAATCCAAAAACGAGAGTAAGTGATTGATACAATTTTACTTTCACTGGCAGAATCTCTAACTGGGGAACGTGATTACAGAATAAGATGAGACTCATTTAAAACAGATGTGAAGGAATTCTGAACTCCAGAGAGTTGTGGAGACTACTACCCAGAAAGTATTTAAAGAGGAAGTCGATTTTTGAAAATTTGAGTGCAATGAGACGCTACCACGAAAGATGCAGATAAGCTATGATCCAATGGAAAAGATTAAAGGGGCTAAATGATCCACTCCTGCTCCTGTTTCTTACGTTCTTTACACTGCTATTAGGCAGTAATAAAATGCCCACTAATATTGGTAAAACTCCCATTAATCACTGATATAAATCTAAATGTTATCAGTTCCAAGTAAAACTTTCAGTAATCACTAATATAGTTTCATATCTGGAGTCACCGACTAAATGGAAAGATCAACTACAGGTCATCCCAAATTACTTTACAGCCCGCAAAGGCCCTCCCTCAGCAATGATCTGTAAAGAGATTTATAACACTCTCATTAATCATTAGTTATATTTCAATTTTGCTTTTTTTTAAATTTATAAACCAACCTGAATGCGGCTAAACTCGGCCTTGACAACCTCCTGATCCCCATGGCAACCCAGCCGATAAAAGACCCCTTCTGCGACTGATTGATCTCCTGCCTGACTTTGAACTATAATTTACTGCCACCGTGCACCCATTTTGACCGGAAGAATCACTCGGACCAACGACATACCCGTTAGCCCTCCGTTTCCCGCTGCCCCACCGTCAAGGAGAGACGGTGAACCGAAAGGATTAACTGGCTGTGCGCTCAGGCAATGCTGAGGACAGCCGCGGCCTGGGTCCTAGGCCGGAACCCCGGGGCTAAATTTAAAAGCGAGTGTCGGTCTGGTCGGTTATGGATGTGTGTTGGGCCGTGCTCGTTGTTGGGTATCTGTGTGCCGCTGTTGTCACATGTAAGAATAATTATAGGGTAGTCTGTGGGTCTAGGAGAGACGGCGGGTGGCTGTTTATGAGCAGAGATCGAGAAAGAGCCTAATTTACTCCCAGTAAGTGACAGATCGTGGCACCGTGGCTGCAGGCAGTCCAGTTCTCGGTGATGTCTAACTGCATTCAGGCGTTGTCAGGGAAGACTAACGCCTCTTTGAGCCCCCATCCCCGAGCTGGGGGAATAACATTGTCTACCACCGCCTCATCTCTGAGAAATGCTGGAAATGCAACTCAGAACTTGGGTCAAGTGAAGTGAAGTTGTCTGCTGGCCTCCTCTTCAATAGTAAACTGTTTCTGGAAAGGTTAAGTCTGCCACAAAATTAAACTTGTCCCTCAGCGAAAAGCCCAGTAGAATCATGCAGTACAGACTAGGCCCTTCGGCCCATCACGTCTGTAACGCCAAAGCTGGACCAAATCTACACCGGCGCCACTTTCCGGCACTACGCCAATAACTTTGAATGTTATGGCATTTAAAACTGCAGGTGTTGGAAATCTGCAGCAAAAACAGAAATTGCTGGAAATACACACAGCAGGTTTGGCAGCATTAGTAGGGGAAAAACAGGTGACATTCTTGGCCAATGAAAGGTTAAAAGATGAATAGTCATTAACTTGAAACATGGAGTGTCTTTCTCTCTGCAGGTGTTGCCAGACATCCTTAGTATTTCCAGCATTTCCTGTTTTTGTTTCAGCTTGGCCCTTATGAGGATGGGATGATCTATAGGGTCATGCAGCATAGAAACCAACTCTTCGGTGCCAACGAGACAATCTAGACATCCCAGTCTGACCTGGACTCCTTTGTCAGCATTTGGCCCATATCCCTCGTTCCTTCCTATTCATATACCCATCCAGATGCCTTTTAAATGTTGTATTTATACATGCCTCGACCATGTGCTCTGGTAGCTTGATCCAATAATGCATCACCCTCTGCATGAAAAGGTTACCCCTCAGGTCCTTTTAAGTCTTTCCCATCTCACTTTAAAGCTATACCATGTAGCTTTTGACTCCCATACTCTGGGGAAAAGGCCTTGGCTATTCATCCTATCCATACCTCTGTTAACTTTATAAATCTCTACAAGGTCACCCCTCAACCTCTGATGATCCGGGGTGAGAAATCTCCAGCCTATTAAACTTCTCCCTCCAGTCCTGGCAACATCCTTATAAATCCTTTCTGCATCCTCTCAAGGTTAACAACATCCTTCCTATAGAAGGTTGACCAGAATTCTATGCAGTATTCTAAAAGTGGCTTAACTAATGTTCTGTGAAGCCACAACATGCCTTCCCAACTCATACTCATTTGTACTGACCAGTGAAGGCAATCGTCTGCTGACACTTTGTTTTCAAGGCTGGCATTGACACTGGAGCTTCTGAAACTATGTGTCATTTGTGGAGATGAAGTCCTGCCCACAGCTCAAAATTGTCATCTTCATTGATGGGCAGCTGAAATTTTCCATCAAGTCACGTATGGAGCAGCAGTCCTTCCATGTCAGCAGAGAAAGCACAAGTCCCTGGAACGGAGAAAATGAGTAAAACAGTAGGAGTTAAGCTCCATGTTTTACTCCATTTTGATCTGAAAATTGTTGGGAGCAGCCTTTGAAATGAATGATGCCATTCCTTTTTTTTAATGGAAGGCCATATGTGGGCATACAAGGAGGACAGCTAGTTTTTTTTTGAGGTATCTGGTAGTGGCATGCCTCCCCACAACATTCGATTTGATCAGCCAGGTGCTAGGACTTGTAACCCACAAATGTGGCATCACAATGCTACCTTATTTAAAGAAGGCAATCTGAAAAGAATTTGCCATATTAAAATGGTACCATCTAGTACAATATATGGCTGCATCACTGTAGAGGTGATAGAGTATGAGAAAAGGAGCTCCTGAAAATCAAAATCTAGCCTTTGAAGAAAAATGATCTTGACCTCAATTTAATGCATTACATCATTCAGTGACAAACCACTGACACACCAGTTACAAGAACATGCAGCACTAACATTCTCAAGTTCAGGAAATACCCAGTGCTGCTGCTACTCCTAATAGGTTCTGGGAACACACAGCCCTAATACTCCTAGGTTTAGGGAACATGCAGTGCTATTGCTTCAAGTTCAGAGAATGTTGGGCCCTTGTACCACTTACTTAAGAGAAAGCATTTTTGTCTTTCAAGTTGGGGAACACAGTGCTCACATTTGCCTTTCTCAGGCCTTTCTGTTCCTGCACAACAGTTAAGATTGTTGTAGTTAATTTCTGTCATCTGTTATTTTAAAATGCATCACTTCACATTTGTTAAATTTCATCTGCCATGTTTTTGCCCACAACATCTTTCTGAATTCTGCCATGATCCTTCTCACTATTTATATGAAATATTTTGTCATTGCAGACTTTTAAATCATGCCTTGTATGTTCAGGTACAGGGTTAAAAAAATGTGATCCTGATTCTGGGAACAATTGGGGAACATCACTGTATACCTTCCTTAGCCAACTGTACATGTATAGAGACAACAAGGTGCAGGGCTGGATGAACACAGCAGGCCAAGCAGCATCATAGGAGCAGAGAGGCTGACGTTTCGGGCCTAGACCGAAG